AAAATCACACAATTGCTTTAGTTCAAAAATTCAAATGGGATATCAACAAAACATCATGTGGCTCGTAATATGGCTATTATCTGAAGAAAGGGGCTCAAGCTCAAAGGGGCTGACTAATGGATATAAACGGATCGGCTCAACAAAGAAAAAGGTCACAACACAAAGGTTAATCCTAAACACCCTTATCAATTCATGAATTAACATTCATCAAGAATTAAACGAAGACGGGTATAACATGGCAAGTTCTAGAAATATCAATCAGTCATGACATCACACAATGAATAAAAGGAGCAGGAATATTCGTTATGTTAGAATATCACTTGTGAGTTGTCTCACATCGTTCATATATGGAAAATAGACCCACCTTATAAGACTAATGGGCTACTCTTCCTTCCACCAATTGGTTTTGGGATGGAACCCCATTTGGGCTTCATATGGGTTTTTCCTTTCTTTCATGGTAGTGGGCCAGCACCCGTTTTCCCCCAGTTTCTGTCATGGTATCAGAGCCGGTTCTACCGTGCGATGACGTACCCGTTTTTCCCCACGTACCCGTTTGTGGGAGCCTACTTCTAGTAGGGCTTGGGCACCCAGCCAGTTGGGCTTGGGCTTTCGAAGGACTCACAAGTGAGGGGGTGTGTTAGAATATCACTTGTGAGTTATCCCACATCGTTCATATATGGAAAATAGACCCACCTTATAAGACTAATGGGCTACTCCTCCTTCCACCAATTGGTTTTTGGATGGAACCCCATTTGGGCTTCATATGGGCTTTTCCCTGCTTTCATGGTGTCCTTCATGGTAGTGGGCCAGCATCCATTTTCCCCCAGTTTCTGTCACGCTATATGCTCATCGGCTCAAATCTCACAACAGGTAAGGACAATTAGTGCTAATCCTCGTGCATTTGGCCATAAATGTCATATGATCATCAAGAACAGTCAGTCAATCAATATGCAACAAACAAGGATTCCAAAAATTTTCGCACACATAAAAAATATCAAGAACTGGTATTTGAAAGAGAATCAAGCACAATCACAAATGATATTCCAAACAAGACTCTACACCATCAGACATTCATCAATTCCAACTCTAACTCCAAACAGAACAAGCAAATCAGAATCACATATCAAAATATCAGAGATAATCTCGAAATCAATACAGCAAAAGGCAACAATCAGCAGTATATACATATACGAGCAACCAACATCCAGCCCCTACAGGCAACCAAAAACCAGCCTTCACCCCACACTTATAAAAAAGACGTTGTCCTCAATGGCATCACACGAAAAATTCACAAAAGAAATGAATAACAAAAAGGGTTTACGGACTTCCCTCATCGTGGATGCATCTTAGTGTGAGCGGCCGGCAAGATCGGTGCCTCACTGGGAGGGACCTGGGTCCGCCCAGCGGCGCTCATCCAGCAAGTCCTGAATAAGATCCCGAAGGCGCTGCTGCTCGTGCTCCAACTCCACGACTCGAGCCCGCAGTAACTCTAACTCCCTGCGGACGTCGGAGTCTAATGTGTCGAAGCCAGATGGGCAGACTGATGGGTGGTCGGAGGTCGGTTACGGCTGCTCGGCTGGGACCTGCTACTCGGCTGGAATCCACTCTGGCTGACCGGGGAAGGCAGCATGCTGCATCATTATGTTCGCCGCGACATAAAGGTCAACGAAAGAGCAGTTGGGCAAAGGTAGCCTCTCCTCTGCCGACACCATCCAGTAATGGGTGCCATTCTCTTTCTTCACGGCGAGAATCAGCTCGAGCTGGCTCAAATCAAAACATGCCACCCCCCCGACCGCTGGCCAGCCTCTAAGCTCAAGCCCAAGATGTTCGGCGATTCGCGTGACTAGCCCTCCGAGGGCAATGTGATTGCTACGCCTATTCACACTGAAGAGGCCGCCGAATAATAGACAGGGCAGGTCGCACTCGCTGTCCCCTCAACATACACCAGACGAGCTTCAACTCCAACCACCGAATGAGGTTGTGGTTTTTGTATCGTCTTGTGATCAAATACACACTCATCCGATGCACATAACGCAACGCCGGATTTCGAATCGCAGATTCCCGCGAGGACCGGTTAAACTCCTTGGCATTGGTGATAGCCAACCATGCCACATCATAATCCATTTTCACGTCATCCTCTGCATCGTTGGGTAGCCCAAAGGCAGCGGCGAAGTCATCGTCTGTCCATAGACGCTCAACACCTCCCAGCCTGAAATGGACCCCCGCATCCTCCTTTGTCAACGAGCTGAAGAAATCGTATGTGTGATCTTCATAAGTACGCCACCCATCCGTCATCAGGGTCCTCAATCCCAACACATCGAGGAGGTGATAAACCTCGGTGTGTAGGCCTAGCTGAGTCAACACACCATCGTCAATGAACGTGCTGGTCGTCACATGTCGAGCAGTTAAATCAACATATTTGCTGTAGTGTTCTCCACTCTCGAAAATGATGCCATGGATGTTGGCGAACTGGGGCCTGGCCGATGGAGGGGGTGCAATTGACGATGAACCTCATGGTGCAGAGGAGGACAAGTTTCAACGGGACACTCGCGGCTACCTTGTCGCTGGTTCAGATGTCGGGGCTGCTTCTCGGGCTTTTGATGTGCCTATCCGAGCCCGCTTAGATGTAGGGGCCTCTTCCTGTGTTCCCGAGTCCTCTGGTGAGGCTCGGGTTCATTTGACGGGCGTCTCGGATGCTGTCTGGGACGAAGTTCGGGTGGCTGGCGGTGTAGGCTCATTAGCTGGTGACTCGGTAGAGGTGGTCAAAGGCTGTTTCGATTGGATCAGAGGCTGTCTCGGTTTGATTGGTGTGACCTTTGGCTGCGACAGCAGTTGTATCGGTTAATGTGCTGGTTGCTTTGTGATGGTGGTCGGCGATGCCTTCGTCTGTGACGATGAAGCCACCACTCCAGACGACTTCGCCCGACCCTTAGACCTCTCGACGGTGAGATCAATGAATTTTGGGGCATCGGGGTAATGGTACGCCCCCATTCAGCGAGTGTGCCGGCGTTGTTCGAGAGCCGGAGCAGGAGCTTCGGCTGTCGTAACGGCCGGTGGACTATTGACCTAGATGGGGCCAGTTCGGTTGACTAGGTAGCAGCCAACAATTCCTCAAGGTGCTACTCAACTGGTGACGAGGGTTTTGCTGACTTCGACCCGGCTGACGGGGTTGATTGTATGGCGGTCGAAGGCGCAGGTGAAGGGTTTACCGAATTTGAGGCGGAGGGCGGCAGTTGAGCAGATTCCGACGGTGATGTGGGTTGGAACGACGCGGGCGGCGGCGATTTTAACAGAATCGGTGCTGGCGACGTGGGCTTTGGCGTGGATGATGGTCTTGTGGTCACCGTTTTGGACACAGGTGGCGAAACAGGGTTGGGCAGGGGTTTTTGGCGACGTCGCGGATGGCGGCGATGCGGGCTGCCCAGAACCGGACGACGACTTTTCTGTGGTCGGCAACGATGGAATTTGCGTCACCAGCGATGGGCTCGCCGATTGTGAAGCTGAAGACGAGGTAGGTGGTGATTCCAGCGGCGTCGAGTCATCGGACCTTGGGGGTGACTTCGATTTGAAAGCCATCTGCTTGATTCTCACCATGGTTCTCGCTCAATCTCAGATTTTCACACGATTTTGCAGATTGTCGTTTCTCAGCTCAATTCTCTCAGATGGTCGCTCGATTTCTTGTGACTGTTGGGATTCTTCTGGAAGAAGATAAAGTGACGCACGACCCCTTTTTTTATTCACAACATAATCAAAGATTTTGGGCTGCAATATCCCATTAAGTGGCCCAAGAAATCCATTTCATCATAGCTTTAATTCCCAATGGCCCAAATTCGATTTCTTCCACAAGTTGGCTGGCCCGCTGAAGTTACACCCTCCTATCACATTTACCACTTGGCCCACCACGATAATATCCTGCAAATACAACTGAAATTTGGAACTAACATCAGCAGACACTAAATGCACAGACAACAACCAAAACATGTTCCTTCTCATGAATTAATTATTTTATTCAAGAACCACTAAATAAAACCTAACAGGATTAAAAATAATAATAATAACAATAACAATAATAATAATAATAATAATAATAATAATAATAATAATAATAATATCGGGTTGCCTCCCAATTAGCATCCTTTTTTTACGCCGTTGGCTCGACCGAATACCTCCCTTTTAAACTGACTGAGGAGCGTCCAACCGGACTCGCTCCACATCGTTGATTCCAAGTTCTCCATAATACCGCTTGAGCTTGTAGCCATTCACCTTGAACGTCTTGCCCGTTGTAGGGCTAAAAATCTTCATTGCTCCATGGCCAAAGGCTTTCACAACGACAAGAGGACCAATCCAACGAGAGCGTAGCTTGCCCGAAAATAATTTCAACTGAGAGTCAAAGAGTAGAACCTTTTCCCCCTCGACAAAATTCTTCCCTGAAATTTTCAAATCGTGGGCAACCTTTGTTTTTCCTTGAAGATCACTGAATTCTCAAAGGCCTCATTTTTTATCTCTTGAGCTCTTGTAACTGCAGCTTTCTATGGCCTCCCACATCATCGTACTCAAGGTTCCACTTCTTCACAACCCACCAAGCTCTGTGTTGTAGTTCGACCGGCAAATGGCATGGCTTCCCGAACACCAATCGGTATGGAGACATGCCGATTGGAGTCTTGTAGGCCGTCCGGTACGCCCACAACGCATCATCCAATTTAATACTCTAATCCTTCCTGTTGGGTTTCACCGTCTTCTCGAGGATGGACTTTATCTCCTGGTTTGACACTTCAGCTTGACCACTCGTCTGAGGATGATAAGCGGTCGAAAGCCGGTGAATGACACCACATTTCCTAAGCAATTCCTCCACTGTCTTGTTGCAGAAGTGTGTTCCCCGATCACCAATCATTGCTCGAGGGATCCTGAACCTAGAAAAGATGTTAGACTTAATGAAACCTGCAACAACCTTCGAATCGTTAGCCCGGGTGGCCTTTGCTTCCACCCATTTCAAGACATAGTCCACAACAAGTAAGATATATTCATTACAAAATGAAGAAGGAAAAGGGCCCATGAAATCAATCCCCCAGACATTGAAAATTTCACAAATAATAATAGGGTTTTGGGGCATTTGATTCCTCTTAGAAATGTTACCTGTTCGTTGGCAATTATCACATGACTTACAAAATTCATGCGCGTCCCAAAAGAGTGTCGGCCAATAGAAACCACTCTCCAAAACTTTATGAGTTGTCTGTCTACCTCTGAAGTGACCTCCACATGCGTGTGAATGGCAGAACAAAAGAATGTAGTGGAACTTGGTTTCCTGGACACACCGCATAATCACTGCACAATGCTTCCAAAGATACGGGTCGTCACATACATAGTACTTGGCGTCTCTCCTGAGCTTATCCTTCATGTGGCTCTTCATACCTGTAGGATACACTTTAGCAACCAGGTAATTGACAATATCAACATATCAGGGTTCGACAAATTCAGACGTCAAAATGCCTCGGTCTTGGTGTTCAGTTGCTGTATAGTCGAGTATGGGGTTACCCTGTACTCCTGGGAAGGTATCCCATACTACTAGGAGCAGCATGTTTCCAATGCACAGCAACTGCTCCTCTGGGAAGCTCCCTCGAAGCTGGAAGTCATCCGGCGCATGTGTCACTCGACTTAAATGGTCAGCCACAACATTCTCAGCTCATTTTTTATCCTTGATCTCCACGTCGAATTCTTGTAACAAGAGTATCCAACGAATGAGCCTCGGTTTTGGTCTCTTTTTCGCCAAAAGATGACGCAAGACTGCATGATCAGTGAAAGCAATTACTTTAGTTCCCAATATATATGAACGACAATTTTCAAGCGCAAAAACCACCGCCAACAATTCTTTTTCAGTAGTGGTATAATTTTCTTGGGCGGGGTTCAACGTCTTTGACGCGTAAAAAATCACATGAGCCGCTTTGTCCACTCGTTGGCCTAGCATTACTTCTACGGCATAGTCGCTTGCGTCACACATTATCTTAAACGGGAGATCCCATTTAGGTGGTTGAATGACTGGAGATGTGGTCAGCTTCCCCTTCAGTGAATCAAATGCCTTTTTACAATCTTCCTTCACCCGGAATTCCACGTATTTTTGCAGCAATGAGCACCAAGGGGCTGCTATCTTCGAGAAATCCTTAATGAATCGACGATAAAATCCTGCATGGCCAAGGAATGAGCGCACTTCCCGCACACTTGCGGGGTAAGGCAAAGCAGTAATAATATCGACCTTTGACTTATCAACTTCAATACCTCGCTTAAAAACAATGTGTCCTAAAACAATACCTTGTTCTACCATAAAGTGACACTTTTCCCAATTAAGAACAAGATTCGTTTCTATACACTGTTTTAAGATTAAAGCAAGGTTCTCGAGGCTCGAGTTAAATGACTCACCATATACACTAAAATCATCCATAAATACCTCTATTATGTTGCCGACGTATTCCGAAAAGATGCTCACCATGCACCGTTGGAATGTGGTCAGCGCATTACATAATCCAAATGGCATGTGTCTGTAAGCGAATATCCCGAATGGGCATGTAAATGTGGTCTTCTCCTGATCCTCGGGTGTAATAGGAATCTGAAAAAAACCTGAATACCCATCTAGAAAACAATAATAAGAATAACCTGCCAATCTTTCTAACATCTGATCAATAAAAGGTAATGGAAAATGATCTTTGCGAGTCATCGCATTCAACTTACGATAATCGATGCATACCCTCCACCCGGTCTGTACACAAGTGGGACCGAACTCACCTACCTGATTCTCGATCACAGTCACACCCAACTTCTTTGAAACCACTTGCGTCGGGCTCACCCAACGGCTATCCGAGATCGGATAAATGACTCCAACGTCTAGCAACTTGATGATTTCATTCTTCACCACCTTCATCATAGGAGGATTCAACCGTTGTTGCCTCCCGAGATGGTTTAGCGTCTTCCTCTAGAAGAATACGATGCATGCAAATGGACGGGCTTATCCCACGCAAATCGGCAATGGTCCATCCGATTGCTCGTTTGTAATTCTTTAACACTTAAATAAGGGCTGCCTCTTGGTCAGGTTCCAGCTTCGATGACACTATCACTGAAACTGTTCGATCATCTCCCAAGTAAGCATACTTCAAGTGGCTCGACAAGGATTTCAGTTCAGGCTCTGGTGCCTGCAAAATAGAAGGAAGAATTTTCTTATCAGATTCAGGTAGCCGAATAAATTTTTTAATATACTTTCTAATATATGGCTTCGGTGTATCCAAGGCTGTTACGGCTTCATCGATAAGCTCTAGTTGGTATAAAAGTTCGGTTTGGTCGCTATCTCTCTGCAGTCCGAGTATGGTGGTACCCTGTACTTCTGGGAAGGTACCCCGTACTGCTTGGTTTTTGTCCAAACTTTGTGAAATCACAAGCTCTATCTCATCTTCTCTATAAGTGTCGAGAAAATCCTGTGCCAACGGTTCAATACAATCAAGTAAATAAACACAATGGTCAGAATCAGGAAATTTCATGGCATCAAAAATATTGAACCTAATAACATTGCCATCGAACTCCATCGTGAGAATGCCTTCACGAACGTCGATTTTTGTTTGAGCGGTGTTCAAGAACGGCCGCCCTAACAAAATCGGGGTCGATATAGGAATCCTGTCATTCATACTCAACACATAAAAGTCAGCAGGAAAAATAAGCTCATTAACCTTAACAAGAATATCCTCAATTGCCCCATCCGGGAAAGTAGTACTTCGGTCGGCAAGTTGAATTACCACCGGAGTTTCTTTAAGAGGACCCAAATTTAAGGAATCAAAAATAGAGAGAGACATAACATTAATTGATTCT